GACTGAGGATGTCTTTTGAATAAAGACGAAACGTCTCAAACAGAAAATAGTCGATTTTCATGATGAAAAAGGTTGTGTATCTCTTATTATCTATGATGTAAATTAATTTACCACAGATGAATTTAAATTAATTTGACCTCTTAAATTGATGCGGAGTAATTTTTCATCTTTTCTTGGGTCAGAAATTAGTTTGAATTAAGGCTTTCCTCCCCTATCTCTGAAACGATAAGTTCGATCTTGACCAAACTTTTAGGAGCTGCTGATCTTGTGAAAGTATGGTAACAAAAGTTTTTGTTTGGCTCCAGCGTGCATGGTTTGTAAGATGTCGCCACAATAGTGGCTGAAATGGGACTGTTCGTAGCTCCTGGCCTTAGGTTAACGAAAACATGTGTGACTAGAGCCGGATCTTTGATATTTTTCTTTACAAATTAATGGTCAGCATCAAAATTCGAAAAAGCTTCATTAACTTTGGTAAACGTTTTTAGATTATGTTTTGAGGATAATTGCGCTTGTGAAAGTGCACCAAATGAATTTTATATTGGCTGGTGGTTCATTGCTATTTATTGCACGAAAACGAAGATCTTCATAACCTTTGCGAACTTCAAGCTTAATAACATTTGCAGAATGTAACTGTGATTTATTGTTAACAAAAATAACGGTATTAAGTAAATCTGTATGCAACGAGCTTCACATTTAATAGTTGGATCGCGAGATTCTTCACATTTTCAATAAATTTTGGTACTATGCGTTTTGTCACGAATATAAGAAAATCCATCATGAATCAGTAAAGGTTTTGATTTAGAAGTTGTACAGAAAGTAGCCATGTTTATAGTACAAATAAATTGTTTCAAGTGTAAACTGTATATATGTACAGAGGTTTATATATCGCATTGTCTAAGGTGTGATTATTATGTACTCTCTTTGTCGATTTCTTTTTTATTCTACTTTTATAGTTCTATTAGTTAATTATGTCTTAATTAATTCTAATAGTTGATTATTTTAGCTATTCTGTCATCTGTTCTCCTTTTGATCATCTCTTAGCATTTCTCGTATTTCTCGTCTTTGTATCAATGTATCAAAGTGAATGAGTTATAGTCTTATTTTCTCTTATAAACCGGTACAAACATGTATAACCCAAAAATTTTAGGAGATTCTATACACTGCAAATAATATTGATAATTTCTGTTTGGAAATGCGAGGAAATTATTTTCGAGAATATCGCTTTCGAGGAAATTTCATTGGAGAAAATTTCTCAAACCCAATTCAACAAACACGTTGATATATGGAAAGTGTTATCTTGTGATTTTTTGTTTAGGCTCTCAACAATAAGCATTTAAAATATAGTTTCAGATAGAAAATATAGAAAGATAAAAGAGAAATAGTTGGTGTATATATCAGTCCAGCTGTTTGTCGTTCAACTCACTTTATTTTCGGTTTTTATTTGTTTTAGTTTGTATCTTTCGAATTCTTAAAGAGAACAGAGTAAACTCACTGTTTTTTTATGTAACTCGCTCAACTTTTCTCAGTTTCTAATTATCTAGAGAAGTTTGCTGTGAGAGTTACACAAAAGTTTCGTTGTTTAACTAAGGTGTACGTCAGTGCTAAATAAGATCCTCCATGAACAAACAGAACACAGGTTTGCGATCAGAGGCAGGACAACTCGCTTGTAGGTGGCAGATTAAAATTCCAAAAACTATTTAGAATGTGCGAACTAGGATGGACCAGTTTAAGAGACATGCTTTTTCCCCATTACCAGTGAATAGGTACAGGAAGCAGCGCTGTTCTAGTCAACTTTTGATTTATATTTTTGGCCTCACACTGGCAAAGCTATACACTTCACAGTCCAAAATTATTTATACAGGTGGAAAAAGTGCGATAATGAGGTTATAACTGCCGATGTGCTAGACGAATTCTTTATTTTCTTTATTCTCTGTCTATTCACTCTATTTAAATGTTTAATTGTAGACAAAATAAAGACATTTGTCTAGTTCATTCTTTAATGTGAAAGAAAATCAGTATATAAACAGACTGTGTTTTGCGTCTTTTTCATTTCGCTCAAACGAGCTGCAAAGAAAAGGGAAAGAAGAGGAGTGTACCTAGCATTTTTTACATCTTTCTCTTTAGAATATTGATATTATAATACAGTACTAACTGTTCGTACGAGCCTCGCTTTAGAAATTCATAGTAAAGCAATAAAAGAGGGGTAGTAGGAACTGGAAATATTATTGCAAATATACATCTCAGATAGGACGAACTGGTCGTTTTCAAGAACAAAATTTTTATATACTTGAGCAGCCCATGAGAGCTGATTTGTTCCACAGCGGTTTTGTTAGACGTTAAATACACATTCACAGACAGAAGCAAAGGGTATTTTATGTAACTTATTATATGTGCAAATAATTTATTTACATTTCACATTGCACGAGAAAAGACATTTTGGGTTAAAAATTTTGCAACATAGAAAACAACAAAAAGGAGAAGTAAGCACAGATAAACACACTTAGAATATTTGTCTTTTCGTAAAGTAGTCTAGGAGAGACTGTTATAACTGACTAGTGGTTTTTCAAAAGTTGAACTAAACAAGAGAAAAATGCTTCTCTGTGTCGTTTTAAGAAATAGAGATCGCGAACTCCTTTTTTCTTCGGCCACAAAAGACACAAAACCGTATTTACAATCTTAATTGCACAATAACATCAGTCATCACTCCCTTCATCTCGGCATCTATCTCTATTTCTTTTAGCTCGTCCTCTAGCTCGATCTCTCTCTTACTACGACGACTAGTGGCACAGCCATCAATGGTGTGCTTCCTCAGCATCTGTTCCATGACTGCCTCAGCTTCAGCTGAATATTTACACCGTTTTCGGATCACCGCGCCATATTTATAGAAAATGAAAGGAAATGGGACACAAACCAAAGCCAGAAATGCCGGTACACACGATGCCCAGTGAATTCCGAGATTGTCATACATCTGCGTTGTAAACAAAGGAAATATTGCACCGAAGAGAGAACGAAGCACGGTGTTTGCAGCTAAGGCAGATGCTGCATAGATCGTGTACGAGTCAATCAAGTAATTCATAGTAGAGAGGAAAACGAGAACGGTTCCAAATCCAAAGGGTGCACCAGCCATTATTGAGACAATCCAATGCACAGATGGACTATTAGTTCACGCAAACCAGAATAGTCCAATGGGCAGAAAGATCGAACCAACCATACACGGCGGCAGACGAGCTTCAGGCGGAGCACGACCGTTCTGACATTCAGCAGCCACCTTGTTATACCGTGTATTGTCCAGTACGGTGTATATAACGCCTATAATGAACCCGACTAGAATGCCACAGAAGGCTAGTCCGCCAATTCCTTCGCTCCAACCTCGTTTTTCCTGATAGACAATTGGAAATGCGCCGAACATCAGATATACAGTTCCGTAGATGATGGCCATGTAGATGGAGAGGAGAATAACGATCGGTTCATGAAAGAGGAGAAGCCAGGGTCGCGAGAGAGCCGTTTTAAAAAGTTGACTAAGTTTAAGAACTTGTTTTGCTTCAAACTTCGAACGATAGACTTTCCCGGCTGCCTTTGACAATTTATTCGCTCGTTCCTTTAGCAGAACAGGATGATATGTCTCTGTAACAAAGAAGAATCCAAACATCCACAGCACTCCGGTAAAAATGGCCATCACTCCCTCGACCCATCGCCAGCCAACAGCGGATTCGGTGTATCCGCCGACCGGCTGTATTTAGGAACTACGACGAGTTAAACTGACATCGAGAGGTATAGAAGAACAGGAAAAAACTGTACAGAAATGAGGGAGTCCTCTAAAATATGAATTATCAGCGTTCGTTCTTAATGGATAGTCATACAATTGGTCCAAGGGCAGGACCGAGAAAAGCTGCGCTTGCGAACACGGACATTCCAAGGCCTCTCTGTGACGCTGGAAACATATCGGCGACAGTCCCTCCAGCGTTTGTAAGAGGCGAAGAACCGAATGCACCTGCGAAGAATCGCAGAATGAGCAGCGTCTGAATATTCTGTGCTCCGGCAGCGCCAGCATTGAATGCAGTTAACGCTCCATAAGTTACGATGAAGAGCGGACGCCTGCCTAAAAGTTCAGATAATGGCGCCCAAAGAAGAGGTCCCAGAGCAAATCCGAGAACGAAGAGAGATATGCCGAGTGTGACTACTTCAGTGCTCGTATTGAACTGAGTGATTATTTGTTGAATGCCTCCCGTGTAAGCAGATGATGCAAACGCAACTGCTAACGTTGCGAAAGATACAATAACCATTAGAAACCATTTATACGAGTCCTTCCATGTCATTGGATTTTCAATATCATCGTCCAGCCATTCGGTTACATATGGCGATGCATCAGTTCCTTCTCCCTTATAATTTTGTTGTAATAGTGTGGCAATACTGACTTGCATACGCTTCCATGCCTTCCAGGATGGTATGATAGTATTCTCCGCGAAAATACCGACTGTCATGTTTTTTGTTATCTGTTTAGTGTGAATGTTGTTATCGCGGTCGAAGTGATGTAAGCGGTTTGTTTGAAGCTTTCGAGAGAAATTAAGCTAAGTTCTAGTAAGTTATCTACCTTACTATTGCTACTCTTTGAAAAAATTGATAATTTGACATTAATTTCCAGTTTAGTCAAATAAATTGTTACCTTCCTTTTACACTGAGTATTTATGTAGAGTTGTATGCACTTAAGGAACGCACGCTGAGAATGAGATGAACCGTACACTTCAAACAATGTTCTTTCTGAATGCTAGAAGTCACAGGTGATATAGGTGTGTCATAGAGATAGAGGGAGAAAAGAAAATAATAGACGCAGAAGGAAAGAATGTGACACTAAGAACAATAATACGATCCCGACTCTTCGCCTATATAGTGCGCACCGAGAGTACAATCAATTTCTCAGCGTGCATTCTGTATGAGTGTGCCTGAAAATCCGTTTTAAAAACTTTCTTTTCTTTTCTAATCGTCAGACTCCTTAGATTAAAAAAAATAAAACATATCGGACCTGTTCTTCTGCTTTGTCAGAAAGATAATCAGTTGAGCCCGAAAAGTGATAAATTGCGGTGTTAAGGTCGATTTTGAAAATGAGAGACTTTTCCAGGAAAATGAACATAAATTACAACTGAAGTAAATTTGTCAGGAATACAACTGTAAAGTCTGTTTTATAGAATAAAAGTGTATTTACTTCATTTCTTTTTTTTGTCACGTTCTTTTCAGTTCTTTGACCTGGTCAAATTATAGTATAGTGTATGTAGAAATAAAAGCACATGTACAATATACGCATAGCAAAATATATATATACGGGAATGTTGCTATAAGACAAAAGGACGAACTTTTAAAAAGCATAAGAAGAAGAAGATCAGCAAGCATTTTTTGCTCGTATCATAAGATGTGCACATCCATATTTTTCATTCAATACAGTACTGAGAAGCTTAGTCGCGAATGCATATATTACGTCTTGTATTCCAAAATAAATGATAAGCGATAGAAAATTTTTTTATTTTTACCTCATACATAGCAAAACGTTCGATTTCCCATCGGGCTGTAAATAAGAGAAACAAAATACATATTCTGAATCGCAATTTCACGAGGATTCCGAATATGCTACCCGTTTTCTTGGACAACTCTTGGTTTTCGAAAAAGATGTGAAAAACTGTTTTTGCGTGGAAACTACCGCTTTTTATTCTATTCTCCCATTTTTCTCCGTTCTGAATATATTCTTTTTTTCTCTGATTTCTCTTATTTTCATGTTATCAGAATGAAGAGACAGAACGAAAAACAGAAT